CCCACCTGTTTCCATCCATGTCTCTCTCTGTCTGCAGCCCCTCCAAGCCCACTCTCTTGTTTCTATAGGTAGAGGAAGCATTTGCAAAGACTCTTAGGGGTTTGTGGGAGGAATGCTGACCTTACAAAGGCAAGGCTTGTGCTTCCCCAAATATCAGGACCCTTGCATTCCTTTCCAGGTTCCTTCACCCGGAGCCATTCCCCCATTCCTCAGCTGCCAGGGGTTCAGTCCATTTCAATGCTCTAGTCACCACAGAACAGGTATTCTCTCTCCTGGGAGCCATTTATGGGAGAGGGTGTGTGCACTGGGCACCATGTAGTAGCTGGCATATTGACCTCATGCTGAGAGTATCACCTGTGAGGTGTCAGAGACATCCTTATGGAAAAATACTGACACATGACAATGTTCTAGATGACCGAGTGACTTCTGTACCTTTAGAGAAGGGTGGGGTTCAGAAGGCTGAGCAGGACCAAATAGTGTCCACATGCCACCCTGTCTGTCATCTGAGGGACCTTGGAGGGGCTCAGTTTGTTTGACACTGAGGCTTTTTAGAGGAAAGCAAGGGCGAAGAGAATGGTAGCTCTGAGTGTAGATTCTGGGGCCAATCCGACCTGGCTCTGCTGGTCCTTCTTGGTGAGATCCGGGTGGTTATTTACCCTCAGTAAGCCTCAGGTTACTTACGCATAGAGAAAAGTCATTGTCTTTCCTATACTTTATAAACATTACATAAGAGAACGTGTCTGAACTGTTTACCACAGTGTTTAGCACACAGGACACACCCAGGAAATAAATACTGGTGAGTATTATCATGACAAAAAATGACTGCAATTGCTACTAAGTGGCAGATTGTTCTAGAAAGATGGACCGCTCTCTAGAATAGATATGAGGACACTCCTGGAACTCTACCTAAATGTCACTTCTTCCCTGTAGACAATAATTGGAATTCTTTTGAAATTTTGAAAGACTTGAAATTCTTTTAAAAACATTGTGAATTAGATGGGGGAAGGTATCTCTTGAGAAGTTGACGGCATACTATACTAACCACAGTGTTGATTAAAATGGAGCACAATTTGGAGGCAGGAACCCTCCTGGGAGCCCGGAGCAGTGAGTCAGGTTGGAGCAATGACTGGCCAGTGATTCCAAGGAAGGGCTCCTCTGCTTTGATGACAAGATGTGTGGAGTGGAGGGGGAAGAAGCCTGGCTGGGGTGGGACTGGGAGAGCCAGAGAGAAAGGTCGGTGTGAAGTGAAGGAGTGAGTGACCACAGACTGACCGGGCAGGTAGGGTTTCTTGGAGCCCAGCTTCTAGGAGAAAGGACACTTGGTTGCTGGCTGGCTGCAACCGTTAAGGTGACCTTGGGGAGTGCGAATGACAGCCTGTCACAAGAAGGGGGGGATTGTTGTGGAATGGGGGCTTGCTGTTTTCCATTTTCTTTTCACAGAGTTTGCAGGAGGAGGTTGATTCTCTTACACACACACACACACACACACACACACACACACCACACTTCTCCTTCCCCCTGCCTTTCCCCTTTTCTCCCCTCCTCTCCTTCCCCTCCTTCTCCACCTTTCCTGTTGGTGTTCTGAGGTTCCTGTCCCTCAGGCCATCTTTAAGAGGACAGGGCTCAGCAGACAGGGATGGTGTTGAACTTCACCTGGAAGGCTTTATTTTCTTATTGCAATATTTCTTTTTCTAAGTGGAAATCTTGTGACCATTTCTAAACTATGAGGAAAGAGAAAAATTGTGAAGGAGAAAAATGCAGTCAGTTCCTTCACAGATGTAAACCTACTTCTACCATTAGCATTTGATATTTTTATTTTCATCCTTTTCCCTGCCTTTCTAACGTTGTAACAAAATGTCAGCAAGGTGTGGGGGCCATTGCTTGCAAACCAAGCACTCAGGGGGCAGGAAGATCACCCTAAGTTTGAGGCTAGCCTGATTTATACTCAGGCCAGAGCTTCAGAGTGAGAGCCCATCTCAAAAACAACTCCAAATGCTGAAAATATTTTGTAATTATCTCTTTAAAATAATATATAATAAAATCAATATAATCAAATGTCATTTTATTTATTAATTTATTTTTAACTATTATTTTTATTTTATGTGCTTTGGTGTTTTACCTGCACATATGTCTGCATGAGGGTGTCAGATCTTGGAGTTACCGACAGTTGTGAGCTGCCATGTGGGTGCCTGGAATTGAACCTGGGTCCTCTGGACAGGCGGTCAGTGCCCTTAACCACTGAACCATCCATCTCTCCAGCCCCCAAATGTCATTTTAGAATGCGTTCTTATTGCAGTTAGAATTTCATCATGTGGAGGTGTCATGTTTTATTTAGATAGTATGTTGTACTTGCGTGTTTACATTGCTTCTGGTTTATTGATAAGAATTCTATGTGGAATATACTTAAATATACAGTCTAAGAATAAGATTTTATTGTTCTAACAAATAGGCAAGAATATAAAAAAGTATGTAATATATATTTCAAGTTGTCTTCAGAATTGTTAGGCACAGTGATTTCTGCCTCCTTCAAGTCTCTCTCAGTGTTGAGGAGTCCAGTCTTTACAACTTATCTTGCCAATGTGGTAATCCAAGAAATGAATTTCTTCTTATATTTTATTTATAATTTCTTGGGTGGTTGGTGAATTATAGGTAAATCTTAAGTATTTTTCCATAGGTAATAATTAGCTCTGAATATTTTTTAAAAGACAAGAGTTGAATTTTTAAAAGACAAAAGTTAAATCTCTCAATCCTTTTCTTGGGGGCAGAGTCAGGTACCAGACAAGGTCCCTGTGCATGTGAGGTAAGCATCCAGCTACTGAGCTATTCCTAGCACCTTACTCTCATTTAAATCAGGGTTCCACCAAGTTGCTCAGGATGGCCTTTAGTTTGCTTGATACCCAGGCTGGTCTTGAACTTGCAATCCTCCTGACTAAGTCTCCTGAGCAGCTGGAGCTACAGGCTCATATGACCAGGCTTCTTGCCCTCTTCTCCCATTTCATAGAGCATTTTAAGGCAAGGTCAAGACTAAGATTCCTCTATGGAGACATCAGCCTGCAACTCTGACTGATTAAAAAAAAAAAAAAGGGCTATACTGTCATTTTCCATGTCTGCCATCAAGCAAGAGAGTTACACCACAGGGAGAAGCCAAAGATAAAAGTGTCCTGCTCTCTGCTGGGGCAGCCCCCACAATGCCTCTGGAAGCTTCTGCCCAGCACTTCCTTTCCACTGATGAGCACGTAGGGCCTTCCAGTTGCCAGGGGTCCTTCCTTCCTTCCTTCTTCTTCTTCTTCTTCTTCTTCTTCTTCTTCTTCTTCTTCTTCTTCTTCTTCTTCTTCTTCTTCTTCTTCTTCTTCTTCTTCTTCATCTATCTATCTATCTATCTATCTATCTATCTATCTATCTATCTATCATACACTTTCCAGGATACAGTGCCAGATCTCATTACAGATGGTTGTGAGCCACCATGTGGTTGCTGGGAATTGAACTCAGGACCTCTGGAAGAGCAGCCGGTGCTCTTAACCTCTGAGCCATCTCTCCAGCCCCTTCCTTCCTTCTTGCTTCCTCTCTTCCTTCCTCTCTTCTTTCCCTCCTTCCCCGCTTCCTCCTCTTTTTCAAGACAGGGTCTCCTAACTCTGTGACTCTGGCTGTCTTGGAACTCATTAGCCTTGAACTCACAGAGATCTGCCTCCCTCCAGGGGACAGGAAAGTCTCAGGGCAAACAGACTGTGTCTTCCGGGAACATCTCTTTTACACAAATACTTGAAGATAAATAAGGATGTCACATGATGGTTAACACGATAATATTTAGGGGCTTGTTATGCCTCTTAGATGTAGATAATTTTTTGTTTGTTTGTTTGAGACAGGATTTCTCTGTGTAGCCCTGGCTGTCCTGGAACTTTCTCAATAGAACAAACAAGTTGGCCTTGAACTCAGAGATCCGTCCATCTTTGCCTCCCGAGTGCTGGGATTAAAGGTGCTCACTGCCACTGCCCATTGATGTAGATCATCTTATGGAGAGCTCTGTCTTGAATTTCCTACCAGTCCCTACTCACCATACTGAAATCTTACTTGTAATTATATCTGTGTAAATGCAGCACCTAAGGAGGCCAGAAAAGGGCATCAAGTCCCCTGGCCCTACAGGAAGTCGTGAGCCACTCCACATGGGGACTGGAAACTAAACTTGGGTCCTTTGAATGAGCAGGAAGTGCATTGAACTGCTGAGTCATCTCCTCAGTCACCTTACTTAAATTTGAAAATGTCACAAAGATTGCCTAGCATGATGTGTCTACAGAGTATTTGCATAAAATTTGAATACATAGTGTGAGAGTTTCCGGGAAATTCCTTTGTCCTGAGCTTAAGTTACTCAGCAGCAGAAACACACACGCCATTAGAGACCCACAGAAGTAGGAAAATATAAGCAGCGTGAATCATGCACACTCATTATCCAACATCATCTGCTTGCCTCTTCCTCCACGTGTGTGTGTGTCGGTGTGCATCACACTTTCTTAGTGCACACACCTCAAGTCTGCATACCCCGCCCCTAAATTCCTGCCATGCAGCCTCTGTTTACCTAAAGTCCTTAGTCTCTGTACCCTCTCATGATTTATGCTCATAGGTGGCTGGGCTTGTGGTCCCAGATATGCAATGACATGTTTATTTACGAATAGGTTCAAGCAGATTTGTGAAAGTTAGATTTCACAGGCCGTATGCCTGTATAAAAAAAAAAGAGTTAGAAATAAACCATCGCACAAATATGCCGTGGTCCAGGGGAGCAGGGAGCTTACCTATCGATGGCTATGACCAGATGTGGCCAGGGAGCTAAGCCTGCAGGAATTCAGCAAAGTCTTTATCCTCCGAGGAAGTTCTGTCAAGTCATACCTTGAAATCACTTTGACCAACCAATCTTGATCCTCCAAAGCAAGCAAGCAAACAAAAATCCTGACTGAACTCACAATGTTTTACTTGGTGTCATCTCTCTCTAGGCACAAGAGGAGGACCCCATGGAACCCCAGAACATCACATGGGTGTCAGAATTTATTCTGTTAGGGTTCTCACAGACTCAAGAACTCCAAAGACTTCTGTTTGTGGTGTTCCTGTTTGTCTACGTCACCACCGTGGTGGGAAACCTCCTTATCATGGTCACAGTGACCTTTGACCCCCGGCTGGACATGCCTATGTATTTTCTACTCCGAAACCTGGCTGTCATAGACCTCAGCTATTCCACAGTTACCTCCCCCAAGATGCTGGTGGACTTCTTTCATGAGACCAAGACCATCTCCTACCAGGGCTGCATGGTCCAGATCTTCTTCTTCCACCTCCTGGGCGGTGGGACGGTCTTCTTCCTCTCCGTGATGGCCTATGACCGCTACATAGCCATCTCCCGGCCCCTCCACTACGTCTCCATCATGAACACCAGGCTGTGTGTGGGTCTGGTGGTGGCTGCCTGGATAGGTGGCTTTGCCCATTCCATTGTCCAGCTGTCTCTGATGCTCCCACTGCCCTTCTGTGGCCCCAATGTCCTGGATAACTTTTACTGTGATTTTCCCCAAGTGCTGAGACTCGCCTGCACTGACACCTCCCTGCTGGAGTTCCTCATGATCTCCAACAGTGGGATGCTGGTCCTCATCTGGTTCCTCCTCCTTCTCATCTCTTACACGGTCATCCTGGTGATTCTGAGGTCTCACTCAGGGCAGGCAAGGAGGAAGGCGGCTTCCACGTGCACCACTCACATCATCGTGGTGTCTATGATCTTCATCCCCTGCATCTATATCTATTCTCGGCCGTTCACTCCCTTTCCCTTGGACAAGGCTGTGTCCATCAGCTACACAGTCTTGACCCCCATGCTCAACCCCATGATCTACACCCTCAGAAACCAGGAGATGCAGGCAGCCATGAAGAGACTAGCAAAACATTTCGTGCTTAGTAAAGGGGATGAACTTTAAATAAGTTGGGTCTCAACGCCAACTTTTCCTGGACTTGAGTTACACAGGGAGAAAAGCAGAGGAAAGTCCTTATACAGAATGACCAGGACTAGGGAGAAAGCCCAGCTGTGAAGTGTTTATCTTGAGAACACAAAGACCTGAATTTGATCCACAGAACTCTCATGCAAAATCCCAGGTGTAGCTGTGCTTGCTTTTAAACCCAGAACTCGAGAGCTGGAGAAGGAGGCGTGGGTGCTGGGGATCACTGGCCAATCACTTTGATAATTTCAAGACCGATGAGATACACTGTGTAAAACAAACAAACAAACAAAAAAAACCAAAACCAAACCAAAACAAAAAACTCTTGTAGAGAGTATCTGAGGAACAATTCCTGAGCTCGCCCTCTGGCCTCCGCATGGGCACACATTCTTGTGTGCACGCACACACGTGTGCTGACACACACACATACCAACAAATCAGATTACAGTAATATATCTTGATGAGCTACTCTTGTGTCAGGCACTATTGGATTCTTTCATACTTTTTATTAAAACGTTACAGATAAGAAAGCTCAGGATCTGGCTACTTGGTCAAAGTAAAAGCAACTGAACAATAGAACTTAGTTCCTCCAAGTTGAGAGGCACAGATGTGACCTCCCAGTTGGGATGAGAGCTTTGAGAGGACCTGAGAACATGCAACATTTCCAGAAAATCTCCTGGTGCCTTCAGTTGCGTCTGACGGGGACAGGTGTTTCTGTTTTTTTTTTTTTTTTTCCTCCTAACCTTCTGGTACCTGGTTTTATCGTAACTTTATTTCTGTACATTTATTCACTGTGGCATCTACAACGTTTTATAAAAGTCTCAGCATAAGGTGATGCTAAGTTTAGACCACAATGCAAGAGCTTCCCCCGCTTCCCTCTGGTGCCATCCCCACCAAGACATGGAAGTCACAGGCTCCTCCTTGTTTCTCTGTGCACCATGATGGCAGTTCCGAGTGTGCCCCATCTCTGTTTTTTCCTCCCTGTTTTTTTCCTCATACATTTATCCAATTTCACTAGACATTAGAAAGTATTTTACTTTTAAATGCATATGTGTACATTTTTGCCTGCATGTAGAAATGTGCCCCATATGCAGCCTGGTGCCCAGAGAGGGCAGAAAAGAGAGCTTCAGGCTATAAGAGGGCTTCAGAGCTCCTGGAGCTGGATTTACAGATGGTAGTTAACCAGAATGTGGGTGCTGGGAATTGAACCTGGATCCTCTGCAAGAGCACTAATTGCCCTTAGCCACTGAGCCATCTCACCAGCCCCTGCGGCAGATCTTGTCTTTTAAGATCGTGAATGGCAAACCCTAAAGCACAATTGCTGCTTTTCTTGGTGCTTTGGGTCCTCAAGGGAGACTCCTGAAAAACAAAAAAAAGAACTGTGTTTTGAGACATACAAAAACTTTTTAACAAGTCCCATTGCTGCACAGGCCCCAGTAGTAATGAGCCCAGCTCAGCCTCCTGAGTCCTGTCCAATATGGTTACCCTGAGGACAGTCCCTTTTCCTCTAGGACCCCATACACATAGCCCACATGAGGGATGGCCAAGGAATAGGAAGCTGAAGCCATGCAAAGGACCTCCAAGAAGATGTAAGTCACGCAGTCCGGTGCTGGACTGAAGCATGGTGAGAGGAAAGGGTTTGCTTTCCCGTACACTGGCAGCTGTTAGAAGGGCCTTGCAAATGTTCAGCAGAAGGTAAGAACAAGTGAGTAGCAGCACAGGCTTGCCTAGAAGTGAGCGTGAACTGTGGGGGAGACTGAGGTACTGCAGGCATGGCGGCGTGAAGATAAAAATAGGTGTTCTAGGTTACACGGGGAGCAGCTGAGCTTAGAGTCAACCCTACTGTTGGGAGGGAGGATGCTGAGAGCAAAAGACAGAAAGGATGGGCAAAACCACAGCTCATGTCTCCACAGTCTACAAAGCAAGGTTGCCTAAAACCATTACATGAAACTGGAAGATGCTGTTGGAGCATCATCTAAATCAGAGTTTCTGCCGTGGATGCTGTCACTGGATTTGCCATCGGTTAAGGAGGTCACAGGAAAAGTGTTCAGCTCTGTCCCAGAGATGCTTATGAAGTGTGGTTGGAGCCCGGGAAGGTGGAGAATTAGTTCTTGTGGGAGATGCAGGAAAGGAGCCAGAGAGAGGTGCATCTGGGTTTCTAGGTTGGATTCCTAACAAAAGTTATTTAAGGAAGCAGGAGCTCTTCCCGAAGACTCATGTTTAGTTGAGTGGATGGTGTATGTAGGAACTGTGAATTCCTCAGATAGCTGTTGGTTCTTGGGTGACAGGGACCCTGATTACAGAGGTGTGGGGTATGGAGGTGACCTTTCCAGCCTCACGTGGAATGCTGGGGGAGTTGCACACAGTGTGCAGAGCTTTACTCTCTGCGGTTTCTGTGTGCAGGATTTTGTGCAGCTTCCCAGAGTCAGAGCTTTAAGCTGTGGGCACGAGGTGGCCATTCAGTATATGACAAGGAAGGAGCATGGCCGCATCCCCTTTCAGAACGGCCTCCCAGGCTGCTGTGTGAACGGAGACAGGAGCGGAGAGCACACGAACTTGGAGAATGGGAAGAGACATGATGGGATCCAGCAGCTCATAGATTGCAACAAGCTAGAGGGGGAAGAATGGGGCAGACAGAGACAGGACCGGACAGTGGGGAGACCCCTTGCTCTCACCCTGTCAGTCTTCTATCCATCGGGCGCTCCATTTCTACGTCACTTGTTTCCCTAACCCGACGTTTCCTTTCCCCTCTTAACCTGTTTTATTTTCCATTCTTTTCCTTTGAATTCTCTTTGGCTTTACCAGCTCCAAGTCTTTCTCATTCAACTCTTTCTCCTTAGATTTGTGGCTTGTGATAAAATCAAGCTCGTCCCGGAAGAGCTCTGAGTGTCATCCTCCTCCCTCTCAAGGATTGCCCACCACTGGCTCCCTTTGCCTGCACGGGTGTCCCGTGGAGCCTCACCTGGTAAGGGAATGGGAAGGAACAGGACTCTTCCGGTTTCCTGCTGTGTCTAGCGGTCCCGGGCATGAAACTGTGCATCTTTGTAACTCCTCACATACCCTGCAGCCGTCAGCAGAATCTCGTTAAGCACTGCCTATACCCAGGCTGCCCACTGCTGGCATCAAATTAATTGTGAAATTCAGACCCGTGTCCCCAGACCCTTGTGATTGAATTTTGGGGGAAAAACAATCAACCGTGAAAGAAGCTTTGCAAAAATGTAAACCTGGGACGAGGGAAGAGAAGGGCTGCCTGGGAAACCCAGGGCTGGCAGCATTGCTCACCAGCGCAAACACAAGGGTTTCAAAGGTGGCATCCTCTCCAGTCCCACAGAGAAGCCTGTAAAGAAAGCCCCACCCTCTCTTAAAGATTGGAAGACAGGTAGCTCAGGCTGGTCTCTTATACCTGTGTAGACACCATTGACCAAGAACTCCTGGTCCTCCTGCCTCCACCTCTTGAATGCTATGACTGGAGGCTTGCACCACCATGCCCTAGGAAAACCTTTTTCTTTGAATGCATGGAGAGACTGAGATCTTAACAAAGTAAGTTTGTTACTCTTGATCAGATCTTAAGGGAAATAAAGACCCATAATTTGCTCCAGAGTGTCTCACTCTGAATGTCTTCCTAACACTGTCAAGCACGGAAAGGCAGGTCCCAGGATCTTGTGGATGGCTTTAAGAGATCTCATGAGGATTCAGGAGTCTGAGGCCTGTCTGGGCTACATAGTGATACCCTGTCCTGAACAGACAGACAGGCAAAACAAAATCAGCATCTCATGAATGTGCATTGCAGCAGCTACTCGCCAACTCCACAGAGCCTAGCTGGCAAGCGATGTCTTGGTCTTCACATGAGGTGCCATCCTAGGGACCTGAACAATTCTGATACTGAGAAGGGCAGGGAGACATTCAGGCGTCCATGTTGTCGTCCATTTCCTCTAAGTGCACGGAGAAGACACTATGGACCAGACCAACCTCACATGGGTGTCAGAATTCATCTTGACGGGGTTCTCACAGAGTCCTCAGCTCCAGTCCTTCCTGTTTCTGGTGTTCTTGTTCGTCTACAGCACGACTGTGGTGGGAAACCTCCTCATTATAGTCACGGTGACCTTGGATGCCAGGCTCCACACACCTATGTACTTCCTGCTCCGCAATCTGGCGGTCATAGACCTCTGCTTCTCCTCAGTCACCTGCCCAAAGATGCTGGTGGACTTCTTTCATGAGACCAAGACCATCTCCTACCAGGGCTGCATGGTCCAGATCTTCTTCTTCCACCTCCTGGGCGGTGGGACGGTCTTCTTCCTCTCCGTGATGGCCTATGACCGCTACATAGCCATCTCCCGGCCCCTCCACTACGTCTCCATCATGAACACCAGGCTGTGCGTGGGGCTGGTGGTGGCTGCCTGGATAGGTGGCTTTGCCCATTCCATTGTCCAGCTGTCTCTGATGCTCCCACTGCCCTTCTGTGGCCCCAATGTCCTGGATAACTTCTTCTGTGATGTCCCCCAAGTGCTGAGACTCGCCTGCACAGACACCTCCCTGCTGGAGTTCCTCATGATCTCCAACAGTGGGATGCTGGTCCTCATCTGGTTCCTCCTCCTTCTCATCTCTTACACGGTCATCCTGGTGATGCTGAGGTCTCACTCAGGGCAGGCAAGGAGGAAGGCGGCTTCCACGTGCACCACGCACATCATCGTGGTGTCTATGATCTTCATCCCCTGCATCTATATCTATTCTCGGCCGTTCACTCCCTTTCCCTTGGACAAGGCTGTGTCCATCAGCTACACAGTCTTGACCCCCATGCTCAACCCCATGATCTACACCCTCAGAAACCAGGAGATGCAGGCAGCCATGAAGAAATTAGCAAAGAACCTAACAATTTGCAGTAATTTAATTGTAGAGTAAATTATAGACAGTAGTTTCTCTCCCGCCTGGCTCTGTAGCTGTTCAGTTCCAAAAGAAACATATAGAGGCTTAATTATAAACTGTTTGGCCTATTAGCTTATACTTATTATTAACTAGCTCCTAAAATTATATTATATTAACCCATAATTCTTGCCTATGTTTAGCCACGTAGCTTGGTACCTTTTCTCAGTAAAACATTCTCATTTTTCTTCCTTCATGTCTGGCTGGTGAATTCATCTCTGCCTTTCCTGTTTCCAGAATTCTCCTGGTCTGGTTGTTCCACTTATACTTCCAGCCTGGCTACTGGACAATCAGCATTTTATTAAACCAATATGAGTGACAAATCTTTAGAGTGTACAGCAGTGAATGTTAAACCG